CAGTATTGTAGAAGAATGTGAATTTTTTATCTGTCTAGTACTTCAAATAATATTCTCGTAAGTAGGAGAAAATGAGAGAGGGAGTAACAATGTTGGACAAGAAATGTACTCATTACCTTACTTACGTAACTGTAACCCCTCTGTACATCACTCTTACAATAAAGTAAAATAAAAAAGGTTATAGGCTTAGAAAAGTGGAAAAGTGCTGTTCAGATTCTTTTCTTTAAAGAGAAATTAACCTCCAGTTTAGAAAATGAAATGGCTGTTTTTCTCCAAAGCAAGTGTTCTGTTTTTGTGTAAAGACTGGATTATTAACAACCTAGTGTTTTTGCTTTTGATAATACCTACTTTAAAAAATAGAGTATAGGTCTGGGAAGGTAGCTCTGTGGTAGAGCACTTGCCTTACGTGCATGAGGCCCTGAGTTCGATTCCTCAGCACCACATAAGCAAAAAGAAAAAAGTCGGAAGTGGCGCTGTGCCTCAAGTGGTAGAGCACTAGCCTTGAGCTGAAGAGCTGAGGGACAGCCCCCAAGCCCAGAGTTCAGGCCCCACAACCAGACTCAAAAAAAAAAAAAAAGAGTATAAATGCTGTCCAATCTAATTTTTTTTTAATTTTAAAGAGCTATCACTAAAAAAAAAAAAAAAAAACAAGAAACAGAATTTTTTCCCGAAACAGAGTCTCGTTATACAGCAACACAGGTTGCCCTTGAACTGGAGATCAATCAAGTTCCTGCTCAGCCTCACAAGTGCTGGAATCACAGGTGTGAGCCACAGTGACCAGCTAAATATCAGCTAGACCTAGAATTTTTGATGTGGCCCATTCTGGGGAGTGCCACTGTACGTGTACTTACCACACATACATGCACACAAACAGACACACCTCAAGGTAAGAAGTGAACTCCTGTGAGTGAGAGTATAGGACCCAGCACCTGGCAACCTAAGGCAACTCCCCATTCTTTTCCTCACAGAGCATTCTTAAAAAAGAAAAAAAAAAGTAAGCCAAAGATCAGGGTGTATTCCCAAATAAGGTATTTGATAAGCCTCAGCCTGAGCTGCTCCAGGCTGCCTAGCCAGGCAAAGAATCACAACTATCAGGAAGCTAATCTCAGACCCTTAGTAAGTAGAAACTTTCATGGTAAATCAAAGCTAGTTAAACAGAATGGATTCTATTGCTTGATGGAAGGGAAAATGGAGACCAAAATTGCTACTCACGCCTTCAACAGAGACCTGTTGAGCCCTTTTTAATGGTTTCCAGCAGTTCACCACAGCCCCGTTTCAGAGTGGTAAGTGGAATACAATATAGGTAGAAGGGACAAGGGACACAGAGTATCTTCATACTTTCAACTATAAACAGAAAGATTATGGTGCTTTTCCACCAGGAGATTAGCTAAAAGCAAACAGCAGGTAATCAATAAAATAAAAAGACTGGAATATTTGCTTATTTACCAAGCAGTGGGCCTCTAAGATTCTTACTTAGATCTTCCAAGGGAGAAAAATAATCTGAGCTCTTTGTACTGTACTTTGTAAAGAAACCCTTAGCAGGTACTAAATATCATATTGGATGAATTAGACATTCATTATTATACTGCACTGTAACTATATTCCATAGCAGCAACAGAATCAACAAGGCATATGTAGAGGAAAGGAATGGATTCTGCCACGGTACATGAGGGAAGTCTGCATTCACAGAAGCAATGAGGTCACCGTGGTCCCTTCCTGCCAGGCAGCTTTTCACCAGGCAGTGGCTGCAGGAGGCAATCGTGTGGTCAGGGCTATGACCAAGTCCAGGTGGCAGCAGATGGCCTGAGCTACTTTCCAATTCAAAATGCTACAAAGGTTCCATTTCCTGGGGTTTTACTATGTTTCACCATTTCCTTCAGACTTTCAACTGTAAAAGTGGACATACAACAGGACTGTGGTGATTTTCTACCAGCAGATTAACTAAAAGCAAACAGCAGGCAATAGATTGAAAACTGAAGACTATGGATTTGCTTATTTACCATGCAGTGGGCCTCTAAGATTCTTACTTAGACCTTCTAAGAGAGAAAAAATAATCTGAGATCACGCCCCCAAAAATTTTTCACTGGGAACAAATTGGAATCCTTTATTGCTCTTCTCTCCTTGAAAAATTATTTGAATCAGTACATACAAATAAATAAACTGGGAGGAAAACGTGTTCAAATCCGTTTTCATGCAAATAAATTAGACAAGAGGATTATGGTTCCAGGAAAGCCTGGGCAAAGTAAGTTCTCAAGACACCATTTCCCTCTGGAAGAAGCCGGGGAGTGGTGGTATGTACCTGTCATCCCAGCTAGTGGATCCAAATGAGACCCTGTCACAAAACACTGCAAAAAAGGGGCTGGAGGCATGACTCAAGTGGTAGAGTGCAACATGAGGTCCTGGAGTTGAAACTGCAGTGTTAAAATAATAATAGCAAATACTTGATTGTCAACAGCAAAGAAAATCTAAACATTTTGAAGCCATCTTCTAGCTTCAGGAGAAAACAAGACAGGAGATGAAGTTATCTGAAAGAACAGAAACTAAGGAAAATTAAAGTGGTTTTTAAAAAGTGAGAATACCACCAGGCCATCAGTGGCTCATGCCTGTAATTCTAGCTATTCAGGGAACTACGATCTCAGGATCCAGGTTCTTTTTTTTTGGGGGGGGGGGTCTGGTCGTGGGGCCTGAACTCTGGGCCTGGGCACTGTCCCTCAGCTCTTCAGCTCAAGGCTAGCACTCTACCACTTGAGCCACAGCACCACTTCTGGCTTTTTTCTTATGTGGTGCTGAGGAATCGAACCCAGGACCTTGAGCATGCAAGGCAAGTGCTCTACCACTGAGCCACCTTCCCAGCCCCGAGGATCCAGGTTCTTATTTCCAGTAAACTTCCAAAAGTCAGAAGTAGAAGTAAACCATCCAGTCCAGGTATAAGAGATTGTATGACACGGTCAGTCTAGTAAAGCCTTTACCACTGTCTCTATTTCCCCACCCCGGAGAGCCCAATCTACCCACAAAACCATTCGACTTTTCCCTCAGAAGACTACATGCCAAATGCAGCATTTGATTGTGGTATTAAAATAGAGCCAGGTGTGCTGGGACAAACCGGTCATCCCAGCTATTCTGGAAACTGAGGCAGAGGATTGCCAAATGCAAAAACAGCCTGGACAATGCCCTATCTCAATTACTTCTGTGCTCAGACTGGGGCTTGAGCATGGGCCACAGCTAGAGGGGAGGTAGTACACTGGAGAAAAGAGTCTCAGGACCTTTCCTGCCTAGGTTGGCTTTGAACTACGATCCTCCAATCTCAGCCTCCTGAGTAGCTAGAATTACGGGAGTGACTCACCAGCTCTTGGCTTAAAAATAAAAAAAAATTAAAGAGTGAGATGTTTACCTCAGTACCCCCAAGTACCACCAAAGATTTTTTTTGGGGGGGGGTCCGGTCGTGGGCCTGAACTCTGGGCCTGGGCGCTGTCCCTGAGCTCTTCAGCTCAAGGCTAGCACTCTACCACTTGTGCCACAACTGGCTTTTTTTTTCTGCTTATGTGGTGCTGAGGAATTGAACCCAGGGCCTCATGCATGCAAGGCAAGCACTCTACCACTGAGCTACCTTCCCAGCCCCCAGCAAAGATTTTTTTTTTAAACCATCTGAGCTAACGATACCATAGAACTGCATCCATCTGAGACATCGGGGTGAGAAGTATCCGTAAGAATCAAAATCAAGGGGTGCTTTGCAACCTGCTTAAGAGGGAATGAAGCTCAAGGCCTTGAGTTGGAACACCAGAGGAGGTGGCGGAGGTATGATGAATAAAAACTACCTCAGTACATTTCTCAATTCCTGGCTGGCTTTTGCCTGCACTGTCCTCCACCCACCTTCTCATGCGAATAGCTGTTTCTAAAATGCAGATCTCCGGATAATTAGTCCACCAGGAGCAACAACCACCCCGAAAACCAAGGAGAGTTGTAACGGTGAAGGACCCGGTAGGCAATAACAGGTTGTCCTAAAGGAAGTTGCTAATTACTAGTGTCAGCATCCGGGAAGGGTCACCGCCTCCCCACCCCTACCTGCCCGCCCACCCACCGCATCCCAGCGGCTACCTCTCACTGGTTAACGCTACTCCCTTGGAACTGGTGGGAGACAAGGGAGGGGCAGGCAGGAACCGAACACTGTCAGACTAAGTGATGGAGGCGATCTAGATACCAATCCCCAACTTCACCACGCCGCCCAGGGCTTCAAATGTAATTTATCAGAACGACTTTCCAACAAGTCTCCGGGCGGCCAGGCCCTCAGTTTGGAGAGAAGGGGGCCTCGGTGGGGGGGGGGGTGAGGGGGAGGAAGAGTTTACCTAAGAAGGCGGTGGCAGAACGGACAGGCGCCCAGGGAGCTGCCCCCCTCCCCCGGCCGAGGGAGTGGAGGGGCGCGCGCCGGCGAGCCCGGCGCAGCCACAGGTGCCCCCCGCGCGCACCGGAGGGACTCCCACAGGTGGGCGCCGCTGGGCCCCGGGAGAAGGGGGCGCGCGGCTCTCTAGGACCTGGGGGAAGAGGACGGAGGGGACCCACCCCACCCCACCCCAGGGCTGGGAGATGGTTTTTGCCTTTAGGAGACAGCGTTGCGAGCCAAGCTGGGAGTTTTCCACTGTCTGCCTCTCGCTCTCCCCGCCGGCTGGGCAAAGGCTTCTCCCACCTCCCCCCCCCCGACATATACACCCCAGCAGGAGGAATGGGGTGAAAAGAGGAGCCGCGGGCACCTCCCACTCTCCTCCCCACCAGCCTCAGCCTCCTCCGGGGCGCGGTTAAGCCGCGCGATCGCCGGCCGCCGGCTGCATGCGCTCCGGCACGTACGAGCCCGCACAGCCACAGGCGGGCGGGGGGAGGGCGCAGAGACCCAGCCCCGACCCCGGTCCGGACCGTTCCTCCCCCCCCCCGCCCACCACACACACACACACACACCTCTCAGCCGATCCCGCCGGGCTTCCCCCTCCCGCGCCTCCTCAGCCCCTCACCCGTGTTGGCCTTGAGGTTCTCCCGTAAGAAGTGACCGCTGGACAGATGCTGGAGGCCAAAGTTCTGGGCGATCCTCTGGCACACCGTGCCTTTCCCCGAGCCGGGCGGCCCGAGGATGACCGCGCGCAGGAGTTTGGAAGCCATGGCTCCGGCGGCCCCACGGGCAGCCCCGACTGTAGCCCCGCAGACAGCCCGGGAACTTTGTTTCTCGGCCCCCGTCTCGGGCACCCTCTCTGCTCGCGCGGGGACGCGCCTGCCGCCCCTACGGTGGGGAGGAGAGACTTGAAGACAAACCCCTCCCCGCAGCCCCGCCCTCCGCCACCGCCCCGCCCGGGGCCGAGCCCCCGCCCCTCACCGTCCGCCCACGCGGGGGAGGGGGGGCAGAGGTCCCACCTCCATCCTTTCCTCGATCTCACTCCCCACGCCCTCTCAAAGATCGGGGCGGGGGGCCCTGCTCGCCGAGTGATCCCCGAGCCAATCGGGATCGGACTAACTCCCAAGTGCGCCCCCGCAGCCCCACGCACACAATGGTCCGGGGCTCAGCCCCCCCTTCCCCTCCCTCCCGCCGGGTCCTGCACGTGGGCCGCCGTGGAGTCCGCTCCTCGCCCCCCCCACCCCGCCCCACCTTCCCCGGCGGCTGTCATCCCCGCCGCCCGCGCGCAGACGGACCGAAGGGTCCACCTCCGCCCTGAATTGCCCGTGCGCTCCCACGCGCGGGGCGCAAGCAGAGCCCGGCGCAATGAGCCCACACCTCGGCGCCCCACGGCTCAACCGGGCGCCCAGCTTGGCTTCCCCCTTGGGCGGCGCCGCCTCCGCCCGCCTGGTCTCTCAGCCCCGCTGGCCAAGCAGGACTCGATCCTTACGTAAGCCCGGAGACAGCAGCGCCCGAACCGCCGGCGCGCCCCCCCCCCCCCCAGCGCCCCCCCCCCCCCCCGCGCCGACCCGCGAGGACTGCGGGGGAGAAAGGAGGACATACGAGTTCTCTTTTTATTTAGTCGCCTAGGGACCGGGCCTATTGTGAAGAGAGAGGAAAAATACAACTTGAGTACCTGCTGTCCATCAAGTCCGAGGCGGTGGCATCTCATTATGCAACCTCTCGAGGCACAGATGTGGAAATGCAGTCGTTCATCTGCTCAGCGGCGTTGGATCCAGCAGCACCTGTTAATGGGACCGACTATTTCCAGAGCTCGGAATAGAAAATCAAGAACAAAGGACCCAATCTGGTGCCAAAAGAAGTTACTTTACAGATTGAGTCTCTCTGTCTCTGTCTCTCTGTCTCTGGGGGAGGCAGTACTGGAGTTTGAACTAAGAGCCTCTCTCTTTGGGACACACACACACACACACACATGCATTCCTCTTTTTCTGTTATTTTTCAGATAGGATCTCACTTTTCTTACCTCGATGGGCCTGGACCACCATCCCGCTTTACTTCCTGCCCAGTTGAGATGCCAGACGTGGACCACATCATGCCCAGCTTTTCCACTGAGATAGAATTTCCTTAACTTTTTAAATGAATTAATTTATTTTATTTATTTTGCCTGAGCTGGCCTCAAATCACTATTCTTCCAATCTCTGCCTTCCCAGTATCTGGAATTATAGACAAGGAGTCCCCAAGCACTGTGCACTGCTTCTAGCCAGGGTTTTGACTTTTGCCTAATGGATTCCAAAGCCCACATGCCTTGGGGAAAGAGAGGAGAGGTTGTAACTCATTTGTGGTCAAGACCAATGTAGTCAACTGATTCCAGGACTTTGGTGTGCAGGAGATTGGGCCTCCGACACACTCAACTCATCACTGTCTCTTTTTGACACACACCCACACACACCACATTTGCCAATCTTCTATGCACTTTTGTTTTTAAGACAGGGTCTCAAATACATAGACCAGACTGACCTCGAACTGATGGCAGTATCCTTCCTCCACTTCCTTAATGCTTGGATTATGGCATACACCACTAGAACAAATTCTGTTTTCTTCATCCTCCCTTTAATAGCACCGGAGATTGATCCTAGGAGTCTGCACATGCTAGGAAAGTGCTCTACCATTTGAGCCACATCGCCAGTTGTATTTTCTTTTTTTGAGACAGGACTTCGCTAATTTTGCTTGGGCTGGTCTTGAACGCTTGATCCTCCTGCCCCAGCCTTCCAGGGATCTGTGATTATTAGCATGATCCACTTAGGACTCAATATTCTGTTGACTTGTTTCCATTTTACACATAGTTCTCAATTTCCCACCCGATTAGTTCCTATAACTATCTTCCACATCATTCTAGTTTTCATACAATTGCTGGACATTTTATTGCCAAAATAAAAATCAGTTCCTTTTATTTCCCCACTTCAGGATGATGGTGAAAAACTAGAAAGCCACATAATGAATTCTTATGGTTTTCCCTCCAAACATAATCATATAGTAATGCTTTTTCAGAGCTTTGCTTGGAATTGTACATCTAATAAGAGGATAAACAGACCTCTGTCATTTATTTAATCTTGTCTCTTTGAGACAAGGTCCTGAAGTGTTGTACAGGCTAGCCTACAACCAGCTAGGAAGTCCACACCCACAACTGGTTGGTAATTCCATTCAGCATGTATTTATTTTTTATTTATTTATTTTTATTTTTAACTTCTTTTTTTATTTGAAAATACTGTACAGAGGGGTTACAATTGCATGGGCAAGATAATGAGTACATTTCTTTTTTATTGTGAAAATACTGTACAGAGGGTTACAATTACATGGGCAAGATAATGAGTACATTTCTTATCAAGCATTGTAGCCTCCTCCTTTGTTTTCCCTTCCCATCCCTTCCCACCCTCCCCCTCCTCTACCCCCCCCCAGCATGTATTTAAAGTGAGATGTTTGAACCTTAGCACCCAGGTTTGGGTCTTACTGCCGGATCCCAAAGAGTTACCACACCAGCCCTCCACCTCCCACCCACCACCACCCTTGAGTTTGTTTATTGACTTAAGGACTGGAATCTCATCTTGCTAACTTTTTATCTGGATTAGCCACTAGCCCCAGTCATTCTGATCTCCACCTTCTGAGTGGCTGGGGTTACAGATGTGTACCACCCTGTCAGACTAATCCATTATTTATGTAGCTAGTTTGTTGGGTTAGGGGGTGGAGATGATGTTTTTGTTTTGAGATAGGGTCTTGCTATATAGCCTAGGCTTCTCTCTAACTCCCAATCTTCTTGCCTCAGCCTCCCAGGTGCTAGGGTTACAAAAGGGTTCCATTATGTTAGCTCAGCTTTGTTCTTCATCCTATGACAAAAGGCAAGCCTATCAATCCAGAGATGTGAAGCAGCTGGCCTGCTCACCACAGCCCACTGTATCACAGTGGCCTTTGCTTGGTTCCCAGAGTCACAGCCAATTCAGATCCCTCACTTGCCTGAGAGATCTCCATGAATAAGTCCTTCCTGGAAAAACAGAAAAAGTAGAAAAGGAAGTGTAATTTCAAAGTGAGGGAGGGGGTGTTTCACAAGGGATCCAGAAGACAAATGTTAGAGGAGAAACCTTCAACAAGGTAGTTTAACTGGCTTTATTTTCCATTCTAGCATCTCCTAAGACCCCATTCCATCAAACACAGTATGTGTTTGATGAGCTAGGCAGAAGAGATTAGCTTCATACAAAAGAGGGTAAAGCAAACAACAGGTTAGGGAAAGAAAGAGCGATCGAGGAGGTATTCTGCTTCAAATATAATACATGTGTGTAAAATAATACGGTAAAAACTTTGTGCAATTAGCTTACACTAAAAATGACTGACAGGAAAATAAAACAAGCTCTGTTGAGGGGCAAGTATCAGCTAGAAAGGGAGGGTGAAGGAACAGAGTGAAGATGGGGTGAATAGGGTCAAAGTATTTATAGACATATATGAAAATAAAACCAAAACTATTAAATTGTCTTAAGAGGGGAAGGGAATAAGAGAAAGAGAGTAGGTAAGTTAGCTGGAGTAGATTGTATGCATGAATGGAACCTGTCAGAATGAAACCCCAAGGGACAGGTGGGAGAAGGGGAAGGAAGGTGAAAGGAAGAAAAGATGGAAAATATACACCAATTAAACAAGGGTTTCTAAACAAATTCTGATACTCTGGTTTCTTTTCAGATTGTATAAACCTTTTGTCTTTCACTCAATTGTAAGAATAGAAAGTAGATATAATATGAAAATTAAAGAATGGGCTCTAGAGACAGATCAAGAGGTACACTCTCTGCTCTATTTAGTAGGTGTGCCTGTGACTGTAGCAATTCTTTAATCTGTGATTCATAGTTTCTACCTTAAAATCAGGCTAGTACAGTCCCTAGGTCACAGTATTATTGGGAGCTTAAATAAATTAATATATGTAAAGGCTTGGAATACTGCTTGGCACATGGTAAGCCAAGTAGTAAACAATTATCGGTCCTTAAACCATCACAGAACTCAAGGTGCTTTGTGGCTTTGAAGCATGTTCTTTCAGTGTGTGTGTGTGTGTGTGTGTGTGTGTGTGTGTGTGTGTGTGTGTGTGCTTTGGCAGGACTGAAGTTTGAACTCAAGACCTGTATACTTGTTAGGCAGTCACTCTAACACTTAGGTCACAACCTCAGCAATTTTTGCTATAGTTACTCTGTTTTGGTTCAAGACCAGGACTTGAACTCAGTACCTGACACTTTCACTCATTGGCTAAGGCTCTACCACCTGAGCCATTCCTCCAACCCTTGCTATAGTTATTTTTCAAATATATTTGCCTGTTGCCCCTGCCAGCTTGTACTGTGATTCTCCTATTTATGCATCTCTTGTAGCTAGGATGACAGGCATGCTCTAAAGCCTGGCCCTATAACACATTCTTAGAAGAATTGTGGCATGTCAGACAAATGTATTCCACCACCAGTTTGTGTTGTCACATCAAGTCTTCATACATTTTAAATCAGCCATCTTGTACCACCAAAGCTTCTCTTCTTTGTTCTAAACATTTTGGATAATGGAGAGTCCTCCTGGAGATTAGCACAGCAGTGCATTTTCTACTGTTTAATCAAGGAGCACTAGAATGCTCTTTTGTACACCTTTAAAAGGCTAATAGGTGGGCATGACATTTTTTATAATTCTCTTCATAAAATAATAACACTAATAAAGAATATGCCAATACTAGACCTCATTTTAAACTATAGGAGTCCCTGGGGGCTTAGATGATTCATGGTGAAGCCTCAAAAAGCATGATATAGGATGCATTTTGTGGTTCTTTTTTTCTTCTTTGGTGGTGATGGTGTTGGCATGTCATTGATACTGAGTCTCTCTATACAGCCTGGACTAGTCTCAAACTTGAGACCCTCTTCTTGCCTTC